GCGCTCGCGGCCGTAGGCGTAGGGGAACTGGCCCTGCAGCCTGCGCTCCGCGCCCGCGTACGCGCCGCCGTACTGGTTGTACACGTCGGGCTGCTGGCCGCCGTACTGCATGTTGTACACGTCGCCCTCGTGGCGCTTCGCCGGGGGCCCGTACATGCCGTCCATGTGCCGCTTGTAGTTCTGAAACCAGAGACAGGTCGCATGACGCGCTCCCCAGGACGGCCGCGGGCGCGGGGCCACCGCCGGCCACGGTCACCGCGCCCGGGACTCCCGCTCTGTGCCCTCTGCAGGGCCCCACGCGCCCAGGCAGGGCTGCCCGAGTTCACTTCCACGCGCCGGACCTTGTCGCGGGCAGGAGGAGCCCGTCCCGGCATTTCCAGGGCTGCGATACTGGGTGCGGTTCGGGCCTGCCACGCAGGCCGTGGGAACAGGGCCTCGGAGCCACGCTAAGGTGACCCGGCGCGTGGGAGCGGACGGAGTGCTCCGGGGGCCACCAGAGGCTCCCGGGCTGCAGATCCCTTCGCCTAACTACAGGAAGCCCCACAAGGCCCTGGCTCCCCAGACGGGACCGTGCTGCCCCGACCGCGGACACCCCGCGGCCCGCGCCCCAGCCTCCAGCCTGTCCGGGTCAGACTCTCCCGCAAGAGCCCACTGGTCCCGGCCTGAGGACAGGCTGGGTGCAGCGCCTGAGCTCTCCTCTTGGGGTCGCCATGGGACCGGCACCGACCCAGGTGGGTCTCCTGGTGGGAGGAGGGAGTGCGCGCTGGGGTGGGAATTGGTGTCCCTTCACTTCGCCTGAAAACTGTTTATGACTGGCTGGGTTAATGATACAGCTCACTGTATATACAAGCGCCAGGGACATGAAACACTAACTCCAAACCTCCCTCTCTCGTACAGGAGGCTTAGACCCTGAAGTTGTGTAGAAACAGCCCTCCTGGGGCTGCAGCGCGGCCTGGCCGAGCTCGCCGCCTCCGGCCCGAGGGAGCTGGGCCTCGCCGCTCGGGCCTCTGGCTGCAGCAGCTGACCATCAACACAGAGCCCTTACTATCTGATTCCTAAAAAGCCAACTGACTTTCCCTTAGTAGATAATATTTTAAGCTGTTTTTCCTGTCCTCTAAATCACACTGACAATTTCGGGTCTTAAGTGTTTGATATGACAGGACGCACCGCAGACACGCTGAAAATATACTTGAGTTGGGCTTGTTACTGTTTACAAGGGTGAATGTCCTTACTTTTTACAACATGTTATTCTTGCTTCCAGATGCCGTATATCAAGAGCTATTTTTAATTTGCCAACTTCAAAACCCTGAGACCATTTTCTAGCACACACACACCGCGACCGTTCAGGAGGCGCCAGTCACTTCTGCTGTGCTTCCCAGACTCCTCCGGGTGACACAAGCTTGAGGCTCAAGCAGAAAGCAGGGGCCCCGCCCACTTGCCACTCACCGGCTGCTGCGGGTACAGGCCGGGCTGGTGTCCTCCGTAGGGCGGCTGTCCCGAGGGCGGGCCTTGGCCTGGGTACTGCTGGCCGTAGGGTTCATGCCTGGAGGGAGGCATCCAAAGAGCTTCACTTACAAAGGGCCTCGGGCCAGCAGAGGAGCCAACAGCCCACTTCCTGAAGCGCCTCCCCAGCTTGTCTCTCCCTCCCTCACACACCTTCCGGCAGAGGCAGTCTGAGCAGCTGCAGGCTCCAACTTTCGGCAGAAGGGGTGGGAACACCCATTTTGGGACGGCTGCCAACCTCCGGTCAGCAGGTGTGAGGAGCCCCGGCTGGCGGGGCAGCACCCTCTGCCCTTGAGCAGAGGCCCCACCCATCCACCACGCACCCCGGGAGTCGCACAGGGTTGTGATGTGGGTATTAATGAAAACAAGGAACGCCAGACTCCAACAATGCAAGCAGTGTTTCTGGGAGGACCGGGGCAGGGACATGCAACAGTGGAAAACAGTCTAACTCTTCCATCTCATCACAATTAAGAAATGCTCAATTTTTAAAGGTATACTTCAAAATTAATCTGCGTGATCCTGAGTTAGCTAATACTTGTATGGATGTTAGTACTCACCCCTTCAAAGTCCTGTAATCCTAAAAGGCTACAGAAACGAATAGCAGGAATGATTTAAAGGCATTCCTGTTACATCTCAAAATGGGAATGAGCAAGACATTTTTTTCAGCTATTATGCTGAGAAATTATAAGTACCATAAAAATAGCATGTTCAAAAAACCCAATAGATTTGAAATTTTAAAGAATAAACTGGTTTAGTTAGTATATTGGTCCTGTAAGAGAGAGAATGCTTAAACTGAATATATTCCTAAACCGGTCAATGGGTAGGAATAACGAAGGATCACGTGTAAAACAGACAGGGGAGTGTTTGCTAACAACACTGGTATCTAGCAGGAAGCTTACGTTAGGAGGAAAAACAACTGACAATGATCAAATTCAAGCTGAGTTTCAGAAGAGAAACCTTAGCAGTGAGCAAAGCCCCTCTCTATGCAGCAGAGACAAAACCACCCCTAAACCGTGGCCACACAGCGTTCTAGAAAGCACTCTAGAAGAAACAGAGAAGTACATTTGCTTCAGCGGTTCCTTTAAGAATTTATGTCCCAGGACAACTGTTCTTTAGATCTCATCAGCCCCCACCCCCCCAGCTGAGCCTGGACCCTCAAAAACAAACCAAATCTAAGCAAGACCCTCGACTCAGTCCACTAAACATCACACAGTGGTTAACTGATTAACGCAGGCATTATAAATGAACACTCTCCACACCTCACCAGGGAAAGAATTGATAGTCTGGATTTTCAAGTCACTTTCGGAAAGTATCAGACACTGACCACGTGGCGGCTGTGACATCTCACGAACCAGGCGCACACCTTCCCCTTTGCATTGAACCAGGGATACCTGCTCACCGCCCAACGTTCCCTGTGACCCACACGTGGGCTGATGGGGACGCTGCCCGGAGCCCGGATTCTGAAGGAAAGCCTCCCCACCCTGTGTGCCAGTGTGGCTACAGCTGGAGGAGAGCTGGTCGTGCCCGCTGGCTTTCTGTGACTCTCCAACATTACATTAAAGCTTCTCTTAGCACTCCTCCCCCAGGGAGGTGAAGGACCTACTGACTGAGAGAAGGGGCTCTGGTGACAGCACTAAGCTGGGCCACAGTACAGGCCTTCCCCAAAGTCCCCCCGAAGCGCTAGACTAGGAAGCGGCTTTCTGTTCCCCGAGACACAGCAGTGACTTTCCCTCTTTCTTATTAAACATAAATCGGGTAAGAACCACAGTGTAACTTCATTCTACTATCAGATGCGTCCTCAGGAGGAGCTGCCGTGACTTTCCTTGGGGATATCTAGAGAAAGTGTTCCCTGTTAAAATGTCACAGGGGAGAGTGGGAACATCTAAAGAAAAGGTCTGGAAGACTCCCAAGAACTCATGACACCCTGAGTCAGCCAAGCCCAGTGTGGCCTCCACCGCAGACCTCTCCTCCAGGAGGAAACGCAGGCCGGAGGGCCATGCGACACCCAGGAACTCTTGGAAGATCTCAAGACAAGCCACAAAGGGACACTGGAGGGGTCAGTCTCGGAGTGGTGATGAAAGCACTGTTCTGTGGGACAGCCACTGCTACGGGAGCCGTTCCCTGGGACAGCCACTGTTACGGGAGCCGTTCCCTGGGACAGCCACTGCTACGGGGGCCGTTCCCTGGGACAGCCACTGCTACGGGGGCCGTTCCCTGGGACAGCCACTGCTACGGGGGCCGTTCCCTGGGACAGCCACTGCTACGGGGGCCGTTCCCTGGGACAGCCACTGCTACGGGGGCCGTTCCCTGGGACAGCCACTGCTACGGGGGCCGTTCCCTGGGACAGCCACTGCTACGGGGGCCGTTCCCTGGGACAGCCACTGCTACGGGGGCCGTTCCCTGGGACAGCCACTGCTACGGGGGCCGTTCCCTGGGACAGCCACTGCTACGGGGGCCGTTCCCTGGGACAGCCACTGCTACGGGGGCCGTTCCCTGGGACAGCCACTGCTACGGGAGCCGTTCCCTGGGACAGCCACTGCTAAGGGAGCCGTCCCCTGGGACGGTGTTACGGGGAGCAGCCCGGGGTAGGGAGACGGCCTGCCATGGCAGCCCAGCGCCAGCGCTTGTCTAATTCACGCTTGTGGGCGCCTGCTTATGACAAACACAGATGAACGTGGCTCCTGGGGACAGGTGAAGACCCCCCTCCTGGCTGTTCCGGGAGCCACGGGCGGCAGCCTTTGGCCGTCACCGTCCTATGGCCCCAGCGGGAGCTTGCTGCTGTGTGTGGCTGCCGTGGGTTGGAGGATGCGCAGGGAGGAAGCGCGGTTTTCCGAACGGCTTCGTCTTCCCCGCAGACACTCACCTCCGCTCGTAGGTGGCTCCGTATGGGAACTGCTGCCGCTGCCCCAGGCCCAGGCCGGACATGGCTCCGGACGGGCTCTGGTTGTACATGTCCTGCATGCTGCTCGCGGGCATCGGCCCCTGTGACAGGAAGGGCTCGCTGCCTCCAGGCACTGCGGCATTGGAAAGAACAGACCACAGTCAGCATCAGAGCCAGGCTCCCCGTCCCAGGCATCCGTTCCCGTCAACGGCAGATATACCTTATCCTTCACACGGCCGACGACAAGGTGAATGAGGGCGTGAGGCCTAGTCGGACGGGCCCTGTGGGGTGCAGCCCTAAGACGGACCGCGGCCCTCCCACGCCAGGTACGCGGCCCACTGGGCAGCAGCCCTCAGTCTGATGGGATGCCCTCCCATGGCTGTTCCCTCACATGGCGAAGGGGTCTCACAGAGGTCACTACGGTCACTCGTCAGCTGGGAGTTAAGCACTGTCCAGGTGTGCCCTTTAAATCGCGTCCAAAGGTCAGAGACAGACCAAGTCGGGGGTGCCCTCCTGCTATCTTGAAGAAGCACCGGCCTTGTGGGGAGAGGCCTGAGTGTCAGATGGGCGGCAGCCCCCGGGAGCTGCTAAGACCCCACGGGACAGCCAACAAGACACCTCATTCCACAGCCGCCGGGAACAAGTGCTGCCAGCAACCCGAATGAGCTCAGAAGAGGAGCCCGAGGCTCAGAGGAGACCTCATCTTGGCTGACCCCTGATACGTTTGCTGTGCGAGCCTCTGAGCTGAGAACCAAACGAACTGAGATCATAAACTTATGCTGTTTTAAGCTGCTAAGTTTGTGGTGATTTGTTTTGCAGTAATATTGAAAATGAACGCAGTCCCAGTCCTTGGTAAGTTAGCGCACGTCCGAGTTTATTCCCTTGTCTATAAAATGAGGCTGGTGACACACCGCACGAAGTGAGAAGAGATGCGTGAGCTCCCTTCCCTGGTGGGGGAAAGTGAAAACCTCGACGTAACTCCCACCCGCCAACTCTCCAAGACCCGTTCAAGGATGGGGGAGACCCTCTACTTCTATCGGGGTAGAGGGGCAGTTACGTCAAATATGCAAATGAGCCTCAGCTCAGAGCCCGAAGGAAACTGGGTCAAGCCCAGAAACTAGCCTGTAGGCAGATTACACATTTTAAAGCAGATCATAATTGATATGTAACACTACTACCTCCTTCATCCCAGGAAGGTTACTTTCATTTTACATGGGGCAAAAAACTGATTAAAATTTTGTGAGCTGAAAATCTGTTAGGCTGGCAGACAGGTGCAAACGAGCCAATACCGGGGGGCGGCATCTGCTTTCCAATGCCTTTCAATACTACTCGATTTCAGCAACCCTCCGTAGAACCAGTTTTGATGTTATTTTCCATTTTGTAGATGTAAAAACAGAGACAGACAGACATTAAGTGGGATAATTAAAGGTAAATAGCTTAACTCCCCAATATACCAAAGAGTTCTTAAAACTCAGTAAGAAAAAAGACAAATTAAAAAATGGGCAAACACATAAATGGATATTCACAGAAGAAAAATAAATGGCTGATAAATATATGAAAAGATGCTTAGCCTAATAATAAAAGAAATCCAAGTTAAAACAATAACAAGGCCTTTCCCCTCCCAATCTGATGGGCAAATACTAAATGGACTGACAATAATTGTTCTTAGTATGAGTGAAGCCCATGCACTCTCACAGTCTCATGTCAAGAGTATGAAATTGGTGTGACTTTAGCCAGTACCTGCTATATTAGGCTGTACTTTGGCACCTCCCTACAGAAGCACATTTCCAGGTAGTCACAGCAGGTGAAGTCCCCTCCCACACCGAGCCTGGGCTTTGACCAGCTGTGACCAATGGGCCACCGGCAAATGTGAGGCATCAGAGGCTCGCAGGTGCTTGTCCTGGAGCGCCCCTTCCTGAGACCCACCCAGTGCCACGCGGTGCCTAAGAAGCTCGATGGAGGCGCCAGCAAACAGCACCGGCCACACTCCCAGGACGTCCTCCAATGAGGGCAGCTGCCCCAGGGTCCTCGCTGACACCACATGGAGCAGAGAACCACCTCTCCCACCACAGCAGGCGGAGAAGCGGGGCCAAGGCTATGAGGAGCCTGGAGTTCCCACACTGGGCTCTTTTCCCACTGTCCCTCCTCTCCATGGGGCAACAAGAACAAAGAGCGGCATTTCCACTGATGTTGGTCATAAAATAAAAAAGTCAGAGTGCCACCAAGCTCACTGACAGCATAAGGTGAACTGAGGAATGCAGAACTGACTGCAACAAGGAGAGGGCTGTGAGAGAGTCTGTCTCCCGGGGGCTTTCTGTTTACCTGCTTTAATTTGGTACTAAATACACCAGTATCATAAAGGAGCGAGGGAGCTGAGTACAGGGCAATGTGAGACGGAACTTCCTCCTGAGCAGCGGTATCACTTACAGGGTTGATGAAACAAGTTCTACAGCTACCCAGTGCCTGGCAAGGTAATCCAGCCACCCCCCATCCTCCGCAATGAGAGCACCTGTGGGCACAGGAACAAAGGAAACACACTCGCACCATCCAGCACAGCGTGCAGGTAGAACACTGGGCGGTTCACAATAGCTTGAAGCCAGAATCCAAAGAGTACTAATTATTTTTCCATGTCATTATTGTCAGATTTTCAGTCTAGAATGGGATACAACCAACAGCACTAACAAAATATTCTTTCTAACATCTCGCACCACTAAGAAAAACAGCCGCCTCCAACATTCACAAAGCTTTTGAATTTCCAGTTTATGGATTTATTGCATGTTCTGCAAAATCTTTACTTGGAATAAGCAGCTCTGAAGCTTGAAAGGAAAAAGCATAGATTATCTTTCTTTATGTAACAGATAAACCTGAAATGTTATACTGTATAAAACATAGTTTGTGGTTCACCTTACTTCCTGTGGGTTCCTCCCATGAGGAGCTAGGCCTGGTCTCCACTGTCCCAGGCCCCATGCCCAGCCATGCCCCGTGCCCACCACCACACCGATGCGTGGCAGCATTCAGAGCATGTTTGCATATCGTGCCAGCCATTCCTTTGTGGCCTTTATGTGAAGTAACTCAATTCATACTCAGGACAGGTCCTATTATATAACTCATTATTATTTCTAGATGAGGAAACCGAGGCGCAGAGATGCTAAGTACTTTCTCCAGGGTTAGAAATTCAATTAATGGGAGCTGGGACTCAAATACGTCTCGAATGCATGAGTGAGCTGGTAGTGGGGCGGCAGGGAGAAGAGTGCCCTGTGGACCAAGCCTGCGCAGAGGTGCCTCTGCATTACCTTTTCTCATTCCGCCGAAGGGGTCCTTGTTGGGCTCGTAGGGCACCCTGCCCATCACGTCGGGCATGCTCATGCCCTGCTGGTATGGGGCGCTGGGAGTCATGGAGTTCCGTTTGGGGAACGATGCGTCGCCAGCGTCCGAGAACGGGTCGTGCACACTGACTGTGCCGCTTCTGAGGGGAGAGGACAACGCAAGGTGAACGACACAGCGAGAGGTGTTACTCCAGACACGCACTGAGAAAACAAGCTCATCTCTAAACCTATAAATGCAAAACTACCCAAAATGAATGACATGAATAAAACTAGTCATAATCGGCACTTAGCTCACGAGGGAACACCATTTCTTTCCCCTAACAGGTTTGCTCCAGAACATTAAGATTCGCAAGTCTGACTCTGTTTGGCTCACACAGTTCTTTCAACATACCTTCCACCTTGCATTGGGGTCATCTGTCCGTGAGGGGTGGAGGCTGGAGTAGGTGGCTTCAGGTCACCTGGAACCTCTGCCATCGAATTACTGCCAGTTGACTGGGGGGTCTGTGGACCTTGCAAGGATCCTGAATTAGCTGATAGTAGTGGGTACAAAGAGAAAATGGGGAAAAAAACAAACCGGTTATCAAAGTAAGGTCATCCTTGCTAGTTATTTAAAAAAAAAAAAAAAGGAAAGAAAAAAACAAGGCACCATCTCACTAGAAATAGTAACAATATCCACTGCTGGTAACATTGCAGAAAAATCAGTGGCTCTTCCATTTTTCATAAAAGCACAATGGACATATAACATTGTAATAGTCTCAGGTGTATAATGTAATCATTTGCTATTTGTACACATTGCAAAATGATCACCACAGTAAGTCTAGTTAACACCCTTCACCATATACAGTTACACGTTTTTTTCTTGTGGTAAGAACTACTCTTACACACTGTTTGTGGTGAAAAATCAGTAAAAGTTGTTTTAGTAAACTCTTTGGATACATGTTTCATTTGTGAGCCATAAAACATAATTATACTTTCTCATCAGGTAATGACTTTCCTGGGTATTTATCCCAAGAAAATAATCTACAATTTCAGTGTTGTTTATAAGGCAGATAAATGTCTGAGAATAAGGAAAAGTGGGATAAACAATTTGATGTATCAATAGTCCAGCACGACGGACTATTGTGCTGTTTTAGAAAAAAATTAGAAAATTTAGTTCTGGTCTTAGGCATTGAAAAGTGTTTAAGTTGAAAATCAAGGATACAAAATAATAATGTGCCTTATATTCCATCTCAGTACCTTCTCGATGTCTAGTTGTGCCTGTGACTTTTGGAGCTATGGAGTCAGATTTGTTACTGCACAGCACAGTCCTGGCTTGGAGCTCTTTAATGTAATCATCAGAGTTCTAAGACTTGCTTTTACTATAATTACATTATAATAACACAGCTCAGCACTGAGCAGATCTTTCCAAAACTTAAGTGGGAGTCTTAAAAAAATGAACCTCGCCTTACAGGAGAAACAATATTTAAAAATCTCCTGCTTTATCATTGATAACAGTCCTCAGTATGTTAGGTCTTCAATAGATACTGGTTTTATTTATTAATTACTTATTGAATAAATAATGGGTTCACTCTACTGTAGACTCCTTTCTATGCGTAGATTCCACCATTGCACCAAACTGGCAAGACAAAAATCCATGCCCTCATGCAGTTTACAATGGACACTTTCAGACCCTAACAAATGGCAGAATTACTGGCTTCTTGTAAATAACAACATTGCATATGTTTTTATCTACAGTTCCTTTCCTGTGCAGCTCCCAAGGCTCACTACAGTGACCACCGTCCATGTTTTACTTTAGAGGGAATGGAGTTGAACTGATCACTAGCGACTAGAGAATGCGCGATGAAGGCGTCAGAAACGGCAATGGGTCTATGACTTCTACTCAGCCAGCCTTGGCTCTGAGTGTGGCCGTCCCCCGCAACATCAGGTGTGCCCAGGTCCTGCCTGGTCAGGGTGAGTACCAGTGAGGGGCCAACAGGGCTGCGTTCTGTCCAATGTCTACGCTGGGTGCCCAGGACTAGTGTGACTCAGGGAAGTTCTGAGAAATGCTGGGAAGGCTTACTTTCAATGTAAGTATCTTTTTAGATGTAGATATCTTTAAAAACAACAACTTATAAACCAAATTTTGGTGAAACCCTAAAAATGCATATTTAAAAATGTAATGAAAGAAAAAAGTAGAGTATTTCGTAAACACAGAAGGGCAATCCTACAGACAGGAGCTGGCAGGAGTAATAGCTGGCATTTTACAGCGAGCCCCAGACTGCTCGGCAGCCTGCACGCTTCCCTGGAAACAGGGCTCGCAGGCTGCAAGTTCAGAATGACCCTTATTTACAAGTATTCACATTTACAGCTCATAAAAAAAGGGGAAATTCTTCCCTCTTGCCAGAGTTTCTTCCTTTCCTTTCAGGAAAAAAATGAATGCAACCTCTTGAAGCTCCATTAATAGCAGAGGCTGGCACACTCTCTAGGATGTCCCTACCTTTTGCCAGAAGCTACAAATGTATACTCGAAAGTAAACAATGGAAAGGTTATTGAAGGTTAAGTACATTCACACACTTCAGTCTGTACAGCCAGACTCCTAGCTGGGAAGATAATTTACACAGCACGAACCTGGTGCCCTACTTCTGGCGGGGCTGCGGGAAGTAGGGTGGGGAGAAGCAAGCGCTGATGTGTCCCAGGTCTGCAGCGACTGGAGGTCACCCAGAGGGCGCCTTTGTTTATAACCCGAACCCCTTTCTCATTTATCTTCCACTGAGGATTCCCTAGTTGGATCCATGACAGGTTTTGTGACATCACCTGTCAGCTAATAATAGAAACGCAGTCAGCCACCTGCCAGCAAAGATGGATGGGTCTTTGGTTCCAGAGTCACTAATTGAATGTGAGCCTCCTTGCCCAGCCTCTGCTCCTCCCAGGCAGGACCCCGCCCCACCCCTCCCTTCCCCCACTGGTTTCCAGGCCCCTGGGCCAGCTGGGCAGGAAACCGCTGTGGCTGCTCATTAGTCCAAAGGCTCTATAGTTTTATTAGAAGGAGATCCCACGGGCACCTGAGAGATGCACCTGTAGCCAGGCCTTGCCTGGTTTTACTGGGGGGCGGCCTTTGGCTGACTTGCTCCAGTGGCTGGAAGGCTGGGGTAACCTGATCTCTGTGCAGAACCACAGGCCTGTCCACAGTGGAGATCCCGGTGGTCCCACAGGGCTGAGGGGTGACACCTCCCAGGGCTGATGGAATTGAATTTCAGATCTGTTCCAGCCACATCAAATCAAAACTGGAATACAGACGGATGACTCAGAATGCTCTTAGAGTATACAGCTAAATGATCTAGGATTGAAGCTGGTTTGGTGGCCATTTAAACTAATAATCTAGAACGTTCCTTAGGAATCTTTTAATTTCATTTGCCTGGAAGTGCAAGTAAAGAATAAACTACAATTGTGTGCCCATGGGAAAAACTGACTTCAAAGAACACACACTGTAGCTGAATATTAGTTTTTGGAAATGTTGTAGCATGTGAGACCCTGATGTGGCAAACTGATTACAGCACCTTTTTTCCTTCTTTGATGATAAAAATGTTTCAGAGACAAGTTCCTTAGTGACACTGATCCATGGGCGATCAGTGGGTAAGCGCCTGGCTTCTGGCTACAGACTGTCATCTCAATGACCGGTTGACGTGCCTGTCTGTCTTGCGCAGTGTGTCCTGAGCAGTGCACAGAACACCTGAGATAGCAGGTGAGCCCGGTGCACCCTGCGCCTGCCCCTGGCCGCACCCACTGCACGGAGGCCCGGGAAGCCCTCTCCACCGCTGCTGGCTTCACGGGGCTCAGCTCCACTTGGACCACGGAGGACGGATCATCAGAAGTACATCTGCAATCCATGCTCTTTTGTGCAGTTAAAATGCAGTTTCAAAAGAGAAAAAGGCAAGAGCCAACTGCTAGGAGAACAGGCCTGCACTTTCTCAGGGACCTGCCCAGTGGGATGCCCTGCGCTGGAGCCAGTGCACCTGGGAGGACCATTCTCCACGCACAGTGCGGACCATTCACGACTTGCGCTCATTCCTGGTGAATAAAACACACCTTCAGATATTTGCAGACATTGACACTTTGGTCCCTACACCCCACTTAGTTTTTATTTTGGAGAAATAGTTTCAGAGCTGTTCAGAGGCCACTTGTTTTACTCTGTGAATATAATGCTGTGAGATTTTAAAAATTAGGTTTCAGTTTTCCAGGTGCACCGTCACTGGCAGAGGCTTCAATCTTTGAGGGTCAGAGAGGAGGATTTCTGCTTGTACTGAGAAATGACAGATCTGAACCTAGGCATGTCCACTACGAGTATTTATGTGAGACACCTCGACTAGTGGCCTAGGTGTCAGCACTGCCACCCAGGGAGTGGCTAGAGTAAAAGAGAAACGATTGCTTCCTTTGGTTCACAGACACTGTGTTCTACATGTCAACGTTCTACCTGTCACGAAGGTATTTCAGATGCAGGTGGATGAGTGTGATGGGACCAGGCAGACGCTGGGGAGCAGAGCCCGTCTTCTACCCCGTCGGCGTGACTCTGCTCAGTTACTTAGGGTTTACGTGCCTTAGTTTTCTGATGGATTTTAAACAGCCTTTGTGTCCTGGGTCTGATGTGAGACTAAATGATGAAGCACGTAGGGAAGTGCCTGGCACACTGCAAGTGCTCAGGAAATGCTAGCAATTAGCTCTATGATTTTGCCCCAGAGAGAGCTGTGCGAAAGGAAGCAGCAGGCATGGTCAGCCCCACCGTGTGCAGAAAAGATGGGTAAGTAACGACCATTCCAGGGCTTGTACATGGCAGAGCCAGACAAGGGAACACAACTTGAGAGAGGTCACCACCTGGAATAGGGCCGACACAAACTTCTTCTCATCTCTAATACTGTATTTATCGGAATATAATGGTGTAGTAATTCCCAATTTGAAACACTAACAGGTAGGATGAGGGCAGGCAGGAGAGCTGAAAGAATGCAGGGTCACCAATGGTTGAGGGGGAGATGGGGGAGAGGCAGGAATCAACTTGGGTTTGCGCGTGAGAGTTTAGGCGACCAGCCATGATTCCCAACACTCCTGACCTCGTGGTCAAAGGTAACTGGATTGCCCCGTTCCTACCATGACATCTGCTGAATTCCCTAGAAGTGAGACCTTGCTGGGCAGGGGCATTAGAAACGAAGTCCAGGTTCCATTCCGCCAGCCTGCCAGCCGAGGGTTCCTGACCGAGGCTGAGCGGGTGGACACTGCCCATCCAACTGCAGGGCGGGGCTTCCCGGGGAGCAAACTACTAGCGGGGCTCCCTGGGCAGAGTCAGGCGGACTACTTCAAACTACCTGTGTAAGGAATAAAAGGCATGTGGCTCAGAATTCCAGCCTGTTTTGACTAAATAAGGTGAAGCTAAAGAGCGGTGCCTTCAAAGTGCTGACCGGAGGACACTGGGCCCAGCTCTGGTCTCTCTCCCGAGCGCGGGCGGCCGGCGCGACGGAGCCAACGCCCCTTCCTC